GCCAGCGATACCCTTCGCGAATGCGGTCACTGTCTCGCGTTGCGAAGCACATAAATATCACAACGTCAAATAGCCCTTCGCGAATGCAGCTTTCCTCTTGTGAGCGCGATGCACAGTCGCTTCAGGCCTACGCGAAAGCGAGCACCGTCCAACGAACATGAAGGCCAAGCTCTATCCAACCACAGACTACCTCACCTCTGCATGAACGTGACCCCCGTATCGCAAACGCGAAGGCCAATCATCCACAACCCAATAAGAACGCGACACCCCTATCGCAAACATGAACACAAACGCGAAGAACAGCCTTCCCCAACTCCAAAATACACTCCACAATCGTGATGCCTCCTCCACAATTGTGATGAATAACTTGACTCGAGCCCTCCAAGATCCCATCCAATCATACAAACAAGTCCATAGACACTACCCAGAACTATCCAAAGCCTCCAAACACATATGATAACATCAAATCAATGAATCAAAGGCCAAAACATAAGTTAAACTTCTCTTAAGTTCAAGAATTTCCAAACTTCAAACCAAGTATCCGATTCAAGCCTAGCCAATCTGGATTACAATCAAACATTGCACACAAGTCCCAGAATAACAATCCGAACCTGATAGCATCAAAGTCAACTCTCGATCAAACTTAGGAACTCTCCAAACCTTCAAATTGCCAACTTTCGACAAATAGCACCGAAACATCCTAGGAACCTCTAAATACAAATACGAACACACACCTAAGGCCAAAATTACCATGCAAACCTATTGGAACCATCAAATTACGAATCCAAGGTCGTTTAAACAAAATTCAAATCTTGGTCAATTCTTCCAATTTAAGGTTCTAACAAAGGAACTAAGTGTTCCAATTTACTCTAAAACAGCTCTGAACCAAACCAACCATCCCCGTAAGTCATAAAACAACAACCAAGCTACAAGAATAATCAAATAGGGAAATGGGTCTCAAATACACAAAACAATTGGTCATGTCGTTTCATTCTCCCACTCTTAAACTAATGTTCGTCCTTGAACTAGTTTAGAATCATACCTAGAGTGCCAAAAAGGTAAGGACATCTGGTCCGCATATCATGCTCAGTCTCCCAAGTCACCTCCTCGACTGGCTGAACTCTCCAATAGACCTTCACAGATGCAATATCTTTTGGCCTCAGCTTCTGAACCGTTCTGTCCGAAATGACCATTCCTTATAAGCCATATTCTCATCCAATTACACTGTGCTGAAGACCAAAACATGTGACTTATCTTCATGATACTTATGAAGTATAGAAACATGGATCACCAGATAAACTCTCGAAAGACTACGAGGCAAGGCAAGTCTATAAGCAACCTCGTTGGCTCTCTCCAACACCTCAAAAGGACCATTAGACCTTGGGCTCAGCTTGCCCTTCTTCCCAAACCTTATTACACCTTTCATGGGTGAGACTATGATTCTCACCCTCCATGAAATCCACATCACGAACTCTCCTATCAGCATAACTCTTCTGCCTAGACTAAGCTATGCGAACCCTCTCCTCAATCAACTTCACCTTCTCCAAAGCATCGCGAACCAAGTTTTTGCCCAATAAACTAGCCTCATCGGGATCAAACCAACAATCAGAGAACGACATCGCCTACCATATAAGGCCTCATATGGAACCATCTGAATACTAGACTGGTAATTGTCATTGTCGGCAATTTCTGCTAGAGGTAGAATTTGGTTCCACTAACTTTCGAAATCAATAGTACATGCCCTCAAAATATCCTCCAAGGTCTGAATGGTCTGCTTGGATTCCCCATCCATCTGAGGGTGAAATACAGTACTCAACTCCACATGCATACCCAACTCACGCGGAACCGCCCTCCAAAACTACAAAGTAAACTGAATGTCGCAGTCTGTGATGATAAAAATAGGTACACCATGCAGACGAACAATCTCCTAATATAGATCCTAGCAAACTACTCTGAATTCCATGAAGTCATGATCGGAATGAAATACGTCAATTTCGTCGATGTGACGACCCGTCCGGTCGTCTTAAAAATTAACGCCCCGATCCCCTGTTAACTGCTTTCCCCAAGTTTAATTCTGCTAATTTGATTTGCCAGGATGTTCGGTTTTAAGTTTCGGAGAGTTTTGGGACACTTAGTCCCTAAATGAGAGCTTAAATGTTGGAAAATTTACCGTAGTCAGAATAGTATGAAGATGGCCTCGGAATGGGAATCTGATGGTTCCGTTAGCTCAATTGGGTGATTTCGGGGTGGGGAGCGTGTTCGGAGTGTGTTTTGGAGGTACGTAGCTAATTTAGGCTTGAAATGCCGAAAATTGAGTTTTTCAAGTTTCCGATTCGATAGTGAGATTTTGAACCGAGGGTCGCAATGGAATTCCGAGAGTTTCAGTAGTTCCGTCATGTCATTTGGGATATGCATTCAAAATTTCAGGTTATTCGGAGATGGTTTGGTTGGGTTTTTTATCGAAAGCATATTTTAAGGAAATTTGGAGTTCTTAGGCTTAAATCCTTGATTAGTCCAAGGTTTCAATGTTGTTTTAGGTATTTTAAGGATTGGTACAAGTTTGAATAAAGTATTAGGTAATATTGGTGCTTTTGGTTGAGGTCCCGGGGGCCTCGGGGTGATTTCGGATGGTTGATGGGAAGGTTGAAGAAGTGTTGCAGCAGCTGTAGCATGGCTGCTTCTGGTATTTTCGCATCTGCGGCTTGGGGACCGCAGATGCGGCACCGTAGAAGTGGATAAAGGGCCACAAAAGTGGCTTTGGGTTGATTCTTCAGAAACCGCAGATGCGGTGTGAGGCTCGCAGAAGCGGAACCGCTCCTGCGGTTAAAGGTCCGCAGATACGGAACCTGGCATTTTAGTGAGAGGCAGATGTGACGTTTTGTCCGCATAAGCGGGACCGCAGATGCGGTCCCAGGGCAACAAATGCGGTAATCGCTGGGCAGAACTTATAAATAGTTGTGTTTGCAAAATTGAGCCATTCTTCCACCATTTTCATCCGGGTTTGAAGCTTCTAAGAGGGATTTTAGAGGAAAACAAAGGGGAAACACTTGGAAGTAACGTTCTTGACTTTATAACTCGTTTTCATGTGATTAAAGACCTAATTAGTGGTGAGAAATTTGGGAAAAATAGGTAATTAGGGCTTGAGTTTAAGAGGCCTTTAAATGAGGATTTGAGGGGTCATTTGGACTCTGATTCCAGTATTCTTGTTATGTATAGACTCGTGAAAGTACGAGGTTTCTGAAAATGTAAATTTCACCCGATTCTGAGACGTGGGCCCGAGGGGCGTTTTGGTCATTTTACATAATTTCGCGTATTAGCTTAGAATTAAATTGTAGAATTAGTTATTGGAGTATTATTTACATTATGTAATTGAATTGAATAGATTTGGGCCATTTGGAGTCGAGTACTTGTGGCAAGAGCGTGGTTTCAGGTTGATTTTGAGCCGGTTCGAGGTAAGTGGCTTGTCTAACCTTGTGTGGGGGGCCTTTCCCCTTAGGCTATGATATATGATAGTTGAAATGCCTTGTACGTAAGGTGACGAGCGCATACTTGAGCTAATTGTTGAAAATTCGGTTTTACTTTAAGTATTTAAACTGAGTTCCTTTCTTACCTGTTTTTATTCTACTTGCAAACTTAGCATGTGTTAGTTTAGAAAAGCATGCTTAGTTGACTTAATTGCCTATTTGCTTAAACTGCATTAATTGTGTTACGTGAAGCATGTTAGGCTAGAATTAACTGTTACTTGTTACGAACTTAGTATTTATTTTGATATTCTTGAGCTGCTGCTATGTGTTTTAATTTGAGACTACGGAACGACATCCCGAGAGATCCCCTGCACGTATTTATGATCTGGACTGAGGTGCGGGATACCATTAGATCTCTGGCATATATATTGAAGATACCAAGAGATCCTCGGGATACCAAGAGATCCCTAGTGTATTTATTGAGGATACCAAGAGATCCCTAGTATATTTATTGAGGATACCAAGAGATCCTTGGGATATTAAGAGACCCCTAGTGTATTTATTGAGGATACCAAGAGATCCCTAGTGCAAATATTGAGGATACCAAGAGATCCTCGGGATACAAAGAGATCCCCGATTATTATCCATGTTGTGAGCGGTGTTTTTCTTGTGTTATGCCTTTATTTCTGTTTCCGTTATTGTACTCTTATCCTACTGTATAGATTCTTACTGTAGATTCTCATTTATACTGTTTATCTTATCCTGTCATGTTTATTATTATTTACCTCAGTAGGGCCCTGACCTTTCTCGTCACTACCCGACCAAGGTTAGGCTTGACACTTACTGAGTACCGCTGTGGTGTACTCATGCCCCTTTCTGCACATGTTTTTCATGTGCAGATCCAGGTACCTCTACCCACACTACAAGAAAATAGGCCTTTAGCGAAGGGAAATCTGGTCGCTAAAAGTCCAAATCCGGTCGTTATAAGTTGTTAACGACCAGAAAAAATCCAGTCATCACCGGTCGTTAAAAGCTCCGACGTTAAAAGTTAACGACCGGATTACAATCCAATCGTTAAAGATCCTTTAGCGACAACATAATATACGAGCGTTATACATCCCTTTTAATGACAAGATTTTCCCTTCGCAAATTTGTTATCCAGTCGTTAAAAGTCTTTAATGACAATAACTAATTTAGTTATTACAAGTGCTTTTAGCGACCGTTATTCCCTTCTTTAGTTGTACAACTACTGTTAAGAACCAAATTTAAATTAGATAAATAGAAATAATTATTTATATTCTTTCATACACACCCAACAACACTCAAAAATAAATCAAATACTTGATATCTTTATTAATACAAAGAACTAAAGTATCATATTTACCGGAAACCAATCTGAATTGTATGACATCATATTTAATAATTCCTAAAAGAAAAACATAAAATTACAGCATATATACAATGTCTTTAAACCATCCCTAACAAAACATAAACCTCTTGTACTACAACTTGCTCTACACTTTCTTCAAGGATAGGTTCTTTGGACTTCAATTGTTTGATCTGTTAACATAACAAATGTATGCCAGTTTAGTAACTAAGAATAAACAACTAAAGAAAAAAAATCTAATGTATGCCAATTTAATAAAGAAAGATCATATCTGTTAACATAACAAATTAAATTATTTTTCATAATAAGTGCACACGTAAATAGCCAAGATGCCACAAAAAAATTTCAAAACCTACAGCAGAAGATAGCCGAGAGAAACAAATAAATGTAAGCCGATTAACAGAATTGACATAATAGATGCATATCATTTGTAGGTGGCAATCAAACTTTGTCATACTATTACATCTAATCCACGCAGTTCTAACTGTAATGACAACAAAGCTTTCTTGTGAAGGTGGAGTTAAAAATTAGCTAAATTCAAGGTGATATTGAAACATTATATAACTATGAGCAATCCAAGAAAAATCAGTCAAATATTGCACTTGAGACATACCGACACAGTCAATTATGTTCTTGAGATATATAACAATTTACGGATTGCAGTATATCTCATAAGACACTCTAATCAAAAGTATCCACATAAATGTACTCAATAGATATGTTCTTGAGATGTATAACAATTTACAGGTTGCAGAGGCTCGTTGAATTGATATTATTGTATATTTACCTTCAAAGTTTCCTTTAAGAGTATTATACTCTTCTTAACTACTCTTCCTAACAATCTTCCGGATTCATGTGTTAGGATCCTATATAATTTGCCTTTAGATGTTCCAATTCAGAGAATAAACTAAGAAGCTCCTACCGCCTATTAGCCGGGAGTTCACATTGATGTAATGGACAATATGTTGGAGCAAGAAAATTTTGATCTTTCAAAACAATTTAGAGAACTGATTTTCTATTTAAAAGTGCACTTTATCTTTATTTCCAGTACATGCCATTAGTTTATACTTTCTGTTTTTTTTCCAGGACATGTCAATAGTTAATCTTGCAAAGGAAATCTATGCTTCACTTGGAAATATCACCTCTTAAGGTAACTTCGCTGCACAAAACGTGCACCTAAGATATAGACCACATCCTCAAAAAAGAAACCAGCACCACACCTGATAAGCTGCATAACGGTTTTCATCTAAACTCCCATACCAATATGATTGAGAATTAAACTCAAATTTCTACTGGAATACGGCTATTATTTCTTGTCAAAAGCATATGAAATTACTTTTTGATTACAAGCAAAATAAAATAAATTCAGAAGTGGATAATGAGAGAAGCAAATCTTTTAATCAAGGTCACCAATTAGATCTGAGCATATCTGATTTGAGCATAATAAATTTGTACCCAGCACCTAGAAAAACAGATTTACATAGCAAGTCATTGGCATATATTAGCATTAGCCAGCTAAAGTTTTTGTTGTTTCCATATACACAAGTTGGCTAAATGGACCACATTTTTGGAGTTTTTTTTACATTTCAGAAGCCTAATATTGTAATCATCTACTCATTTTTCTTGTGCGATTGCTCCAGAGAAAGGATAAAAAGTATTCATGGTAATCTTTCCTCAAGAACATCAAGCCTTGATGGTGTTTATCTCTCTTTCTTATCTTTCTTTACAAGTGTGCAAGTCAAAAAGGTAAGCATTGTCCCAATAACACTCGTTATGTTAATGACAAACATATCTGTAAAGTTACAGTTATTTATATGGAGCCTACAATTATGGATGAAATGAGAACTAAGGCATACAAGTAAACTCTGTCATCCTAAATAACAGATTTCTCACAATGAGATGCTACTAACAATGTAGCGACGTAAAGTGAAATCTTGGTGTTTAACTTTTCCTGTATTCAAATTTAAATACTTTCACATAAAGTGAACTGAGCAGCTGCCGAGAAAATCTCCTTTATCTTTTCTAAACTTCCTGATAACAGGATAATAAAGATTGTAACCTAACTACACATGTACAAAATCTTTGAAACTTCATTCTTACTTAAATTCACTTGTTTCAATGACTATATATTTGTTCATTCATAAACCTTAATAGCATAAAGAAAAAAATTCCGCATGAGTATTGCAATAACTTTATCACAGAATACAATAGGATTTCAATCTACTAACCTGTTAAATTATTTAACATATTGCTCACTTGATGATGGTGATGAAGTCTGATCAAATATTGTACTTGCAAGATGTGCGTATTTACTCTCTAACACATCATAATTACTCTCTAGCCCTTCCAAGCTTCCTTTTAGTGATTCATTTTCTTTTTCAGTAGCATCAGCTTCTCTAATAATGCAGCTTTCGAGGAGTTACCTCCTTTCAACTCCTTAGCGGTTATCCCACCACCAAATCCAACAACATGACTCTTGCGTTGAGGTCCAAAGCACCTCTCTACAACCTCAATGTTTGTAAGAGACGATTCAGATTGCACCACTTGTTGGATTTTAACCTATAAAATGAAAGAAAATTTAATTAAAATACTACAATAGAGTAGACAAATGATGTAAAATAAAATTTATCGATAAACATACATATTTTTCATTGGTTTCAGGTTAAACAAGCTTGGCATCCTTCTTAGGAGTCTCAAAAAAGATAGTTGCCACATCTGGTGGATTACCATCTTTACCTTCCTTCACATTAAAAATAAACAAGTTAACAAGGATGAGGTTTCTTAATAGTTTGCAAGATTTACTCACCAATTCATAAATGATCTCTCTAATTGGCTTACTACCCGTACGATGAGACATACTCAACTTAGACCTATTGATCGAGTTTCTTGCACTTTTTTCCTAAATTAAGAATACATCAAAAAATTATGGTTAGCCACTTAATATAACAAGATGTTAATAAATAGCTATGAAATCATACCTTAAATTTTTCAGTTAAAAAATGCTCCTTGACAAGCCATTCCCAGTCACTCTTGTCTACCCCATTTGGCACATCTTTTAGAGCATCATCTTGTTGAGCATCATCTTTTAGACTTAATATTCTTGTGCAGCGATCCTCTCCAATTGTTCCATAACTTTCTTATATGTTTCAAGACATGATCTCGTTGATCATTTATGCCATAACTGTCAAATTTGTCGTATAATATTCACAAGTATCAGTAAACATGGAACTTATCTTGGAAATTAAAAAATAAAAATCTAACCACCTGTGTGTATCAAAAAAGATGATAAATAGCTTATAAAGGTTATTATAGGAGTTCTAAATGATAGAGAGGGCAGATTCTGAAGAAAATAGTGAAGGGATCATGAGTCTATATTCAGTTCTATTTAACAGCCAAAAGAAGGAAACTAATGCATAAATATACTTGCAATAGTCAAAATGAGAGGTTAGACGAATTTGGAGCAGCAAATATGCATGATTAACAACTACTGCTGCAGTTAAGTTTCAAGGGAGGACGACAACAGCTCAACCTCATTTGAACATGTGGAGGTATATCTTATATTTAAATGCAATGTTTTATATATAACATGTTGCTCTTCTTGACAGTTTCTTTAGGTGTGAAGCATTCTAATAACTGAGATACTCTCTTTTACAACAGTTGATTTGCTAACCATGTTATCTTAGGGTGTTTTTCAGCTTACCTTTCTGGAAGAATGTATATGCTAATGCTGAAGGAAATACTTTTTGTAGACAATAACTAATACCATGAAAAAAGACAGTAGACAATACAGACACAAGTAAAGTGGGTTCAGATGTGAATAGACAAAAACAAAGCCGTGTCAAGGGATAAAATATTTCTGGTAGAGGACGTGGTTCCTGAGTTATTGATCAGACCAAGTCACAAGCAGTTTCCGTGTCAAATGGTCAGCTTCGAGAACTCTTATCAGAAGGTGAGTTTTTCCTAGCATGATTTTAGGTTTGTTTTAGGATAATATCAGTATTAATAGTGTTTGAGCTTGAAAAGATAAGTGTAAAATATACTGTAAATGTTTGTCCAACTCCATAGATAGTGCATATGGAATGTTAACAAACAAGACTAGAGAAGGTCCTGCTTTATCAATATCAATTCTGAAATATTTAAGCTTAATATTAACAAGGGAGGCACACTAACTAATTTAACACATCGGTCATATTCTTGAATTTTGATTAAAGTGAGGAAGTGATGCTTTCTAGTACTGGACAAAGAATAGGAAGCTTAGATCAGAATAGTATTTATCGAAATGTACTAACATAGAGCAGAATCGATCTTGGAAGAGATTCATTAACAACGGTAAAAAGACAGATGCATAGCTACAATAAAATAGGAGTTTAGTCAGCTGAAGACTAAGCGTGAACACGAAAAAGAGTGGCGTTGTCACGCCAGTCAATAAAGAAGGAAATTGTGGTTTCTGACTTCATTGGAACCAGTAGCAGCATTACAACATAAACCAATTACCCTTACATAGGAAAAGTGAGAAATGTAACACTTCCAAATAAAAAGACCATGCAATCAGAATAAGTGCCTATGAAATGGTACCACACAATGCAGAAGAAGCTATGAAAGCTACAGCTGCCAAACAATCTTATTAATATTGAAGTTTTAGTTTTTGGCAAGACAAGACTCCATAACATAGTTCAAAATAAACTTGTATGCTAATTAACAGTTTCGATTTTCATGTTGTATTCCATTTAATAACATCAAAATAGTATCAAGGTAAGCCATCATAAGCTCCTCTCTACAGATAAACAGGTCAATAAAATCACAAATTCATATTCCGTTTGCACAAACAAGGAAAAGGCATAAGTTATTAGAATAGAGAAGGAAAAGGTACCACAATGGAAAACTGAAAGCTTAATGATGTAAGCTCAAAAAAGCAACGCTCAACTTTTCTCCAACTTTGAGTCCTGCAGCATTTTTACACCTATTCGTTCCTCTCACTTTTTTTGCCTTTTCAGATTCACATGGCTCTGCAAATTTCAATTTAAGTCAAATATAAAAAAGTTTTTGTACAATAGCAAAAAAAATATTATAGCTTAAAACAGTAAGATACTTAATTCACCTCTCTGAGTGCCTTGCATCACTTCTTCATGATGAGGAAGGGGAGCATCACCTTCCAATATTGGTTCAAAACAAAGAGGCGCAAAACTATCATTATGAGTTATCTTATTCTGATCAGAAGCTAATACACTAAAAGTTTTACTTTTGCCAATCAAACCTCTCTGTTCAGCATTTACTCTTACAGATCCCAATACACTAAAGCTTTGCCCTCGTCCCCTTACTAAGCTACCAGGTGGAACGTACACAGGCTTCGCAGACTTTGAAGTTGATTCCCCTTTAGTCGTCTGAGATTTTGATGTATTCATGTCAATCTAGTACAATAAAAAAATGAGTATAGATATATTCATGTCAACCTAGTATACATGCACAAGATTTATATACATATATATTCAAGTTAAAAATATTAGTATTAGCAATGTAAATTGGTCAATCTTTACTAAAGAATAATAGTCAATCTACTTCAAAAATCATTTTTATAATCCATTTGAATAATTTCTCACCCGTAAAATTTAATTGGCCTATAATCCAAGTAATAGCCTTATTATTCTTACAATAAAGGATAAATAAACATGTTAATTTGCTAAATCTAATATGAGGAGTACCAGAAGACAAGCCAAAAAAGGACCATTGTTTCAGGCTCTTTGAGCTTACGACATGAAATAACATTTAATGGGGTCACGACTTATAATCCTAAAATCCATATCGGTTTCTTGACCTTGGCTGTAACTTGGTTAAAGGCTTATAAAAGAAAAACCAACAAAATTAGAAATTAAGGCTTCAAATAAAAGAGAAGATTTTGTGACAGATTAACTCTTGTACTAAACTAATCGAGAATGTAATGTTATCATCTATTAAGAGAATCGATTAACCGCAATTTTTAATTGAATTGGGATGGATCCAATTTTTAAAAAATGGTCGTTTACGCTAAAGACTCAAAAGAAAAGGATGAAGAGTCATAAGAAAGAGAGTAAAACAGCAAACGACATGTTCGAACCTTACCTGATGAGAAGAAATTCGAAGATGAGCATTTGTTGTCAACGGAGGTGACGAGTAGTTTCTCTACTACGATGATACTGATATTTGAACACCAGCAGTTTCACTGAATTTTACTTCGCAGTTGCAGTTTTATGAAATATGTGTTCAAAACATAGGTTTAATTCGCAGTTGCAGGAGAAGTCTTGGGGTTTTTTCCCTTTGTTTTGTGGGGGGAGGGGAGGGGGGTTGGCGGAGGTGTGGGTTGAAAAAAGAGAGGGAAAAATTAGCGCCACTTTTACTAGTTGATTAATTAACGACGGATAATGCTATATTTTAAGGGCCAAATATTATCCCCTCGGTTATGATAAAAATCAAAATATGGTGGATGTCTACTCTTCCTCCATGATCTTTGTCTCAAATGGTTAATGACATATTCAATGACATATTTTCTATGTTCAATGACATATTCCATGACATATTTTCTTCACTTTTCATGCCTATATAAAGGCCTTGTAATAGATAGGAAAATACACACAATTGAAGAAGAAAATTTCTTCCTTTCTCTCTATCTCTTTCTTGTTCATTTTTTACTATTATTTCTTGTTCATGTTTTACTAAATTGCTTTTATTTCATAACACGTTATCAGCACGAGTCT